CCATATGTGACTAAGGAGGGTCTATGTGTGCATGCAAATTTTGAATGCTGATCAGTGTACAATTTAGGTGAAAGATAACTGTTACCACTATTTTAATTAAACGTTTGTCTGGTCTCTGTGTTAGCTGACAGTATCAACTGTGTTTATGTTCTCTGCCTTGCTCTTCACCCTCCTGTTACTGGAAATTGTGGTGCTGGGGTTCTGCAATTATCTAGACCCACAACACTTGTCAATGAGAAATCCTGCAGGTGAGAAATTGTTATCTTTCAGAATGGAGAAGTAAAGATATTTGTGGTCTTTAGGTACCTTCAGGAATTGTGAGATTTATCAAAGGAGGTAATATGAGTCATTCCCTTCTATGGCTGTCTGCCTTGGGTTATAACCTAGGCATTTGACATGATCATTAATATTTTAGTTAAAACTTTCAGATAATATAATTTTTTTTCCCCCTGCATTGTCAAATATGAAAACATTGTAGGCAAAGAAGTCAAGACTTGCCTTTTAAAGTAGTGGAATTAAATGACTCATGAGATGCACAAACCATAGCTGAAGTTTTGGTAAATGGAAACATTTTGCTCATCAAAACATTTTGATCATCAGAAATGAATCAGAATATTGGAGGAAGAAAATAGACTTTAAGTCTGAAAACTTTGTCCTTAGCTTTTTTTCACCTTTCATTTTGCTTGGAGTGGAAAGTAAGGAACCTGTTAGAATGCACTCAAAAGTTTGTGGAATAATGATAATTTACCCAGGTTTCTGCCGCAGTGGCTGCCATTAAGAATATTCCTATGTTATGGCTTGCTAGTCTTTATTTCCCTAATATATTCCCTATAAAAATGATGTTCTGAGTAGTGTCAGTTTTCAGGAGTGCTAGCTGTAAATTAGCTTATAGAAGAGATGATCAGAAGCTTTTCTTAATTTCTTTCCCAAATTTGAATTATAAATAAATAGATCCATTAGTAATAGTTGAATCAAGTTTCTGAATATTGATTGCTTCCTTGTCAGAAGAACAAATCCCTACTAATCTATCGAAGTCAGCTGAAGTTTCTGATGGCAGAGCAACTTGTTATTTACAATGGAAGTTCTTAAAGAAATAGTAGTTGTTAAAAAACATTTTATACCTTTGATAGACTTTTTGTGACAGTGATATTTTTCTGCTTGCTGAAATGTAGTTAATATGATGTTTCATGGTATTGTAGCCAGACACATGGACAAATGTCAAGTGGGCATGTGGACCAATAATCTATAGCAAGTACGCTTTTCTGAATGTTAGAAGCTGTGTAAAGCTGAACATTATCAAGTTGTTAAAGCTAAGATCAGACCTGCATCTTTAGAAGCTGGTTGTATGTGACATTGTAGGAAGTCAGCTGGTAGAGCAGTCAAGAGATGATTTCTGACAAGACTTACATAAATATATTTCTTACGTCTAGAGTCTCCTCTCCATAGTGAAAACCTTTGCCTGTTTTCAATAGCAGTGTAATTGTGCTGTACAATTGATGTTTTCATTTCAATTATGGGGGCAAGCCTCTAATTTTCATAAATACGATGAGTTTTTAGTAAATGTTAATGGATAAAAAATTGGATTGATACCTGTTTCATGTTGAAGACAATAGCTGCAGAGAGTACATCAGTCCTACTGGGGGATTTTGATGATTTTGGTGGGAATGTTCTTCTTCAAAGCTGCTTATTTTGGCAGAACGGAAAGAAACATGCAGTATTGTCTGTGTACTCTGAATGAGGTAGGGGAATGCCAGGAATGTTTTGATAGGGATAGCTAGAAGATGGATAGAAGAATGAAAGACTTAGTGCCATGTATTTCTTGATATAAATGAGTTACACGTTTAGTGGAAATCTTTGATACTTTTCCTCAAATAAATTTATGCATTTTCATAGCAGTTTAAGATATTTAGGATGACTCCTTGTAGAGACCAGACAGGGAGAGTCAGATGTTGTCCCTACATTGTAAGGGGAGTACAGTTCTTCCCCAGCACGAAGAACTTCAGACCCTGGTTTTGAAAACTGTTTTTCTTGTGGTTTAGCCTTTATTTCTCATGAAACTTATTAATTTGTCAGTTCCAAGTAGCAAATAAAACAGGCTCAAAAGAAGGGCAAGCCATTTCCATGCTTTTGCAAATATGTAAATAGTTTCAGTCCTTTCAAAGATGGCAAAATCACTAATGCAATCTGATGTGGGTGCTATGCACTTTATAATGTAGGATTGACTAGAGCATATGATATTCAAAGAGAAAGACATACAGTAGTTTTCATGGTTTCTAGCAACATTTCTTTCTGGGTTTTCTTGTTTATCCTCTGGCATGTTGTTAGTCCAGGCAGACATTGATTCTTCAGTTAGTTCACTTTTTCGCATTCAGAAAATCTACATTTTCATCTGATCTCCCCCTTGCTGTTTAAAAAAAAAAAAAAAAACAGTTTCCAAGGATATACATTCTTCTGACTTCTGTACCAGCAAAACTTAGTTTGGTACTTGAGAAAGTTTCATGAAAAAGTACTGGGAAAAGGGAGGCCATGTGTCACACGTAAGGTGAGGAAAAAACACTTCTACAGGGACCTCACAGCTGACACAGAACAAGTTCAGCAGGTCATGGAGTGATAATGTGAGTTAGTGTCAGTGGCTGGACCATGAGTGCTGAACATGCTTTCGAATATAAAAATGGTCTTGTGATTTTTGCACTCATGGCTCTGCTGGCTTAATCTGAGGTGATCAAGGGTTACATACAGGGCATGATAACCACTGAGTCAGCAAATAGTAAAAGATTATATTAGCAAATGGAAGCCATTATTATTATATTATAGTATATACATTATTATAGTATTATTTATATACTATATATATATATACACACACTATTTATATAAATCAGTAAATACTGAAAGTCCTGGTTTCCATTTGCTACCCATCCTCACGTTGTCATAAAGTCAAAGTGGGAAATTACCATCTCTTACTTGTAAAGTTGGGTTCTGCCTGTAATGTTTTGTCAAAATGTAACATAATGCCAAAACCATATTTTATGACTAACTAACTTTGATGGAATTGTCAAAACATACTTTCAGAGTCCCAACAACTTTAGAAATGAAGTAACCATTTCAGTGGGAATGGTTACATAATCTCCACTGTTCATCCTTTTTCCTGAAACCTGTTTCCTACTTCGTATTAACTCGGCATCCTTGTATGATTCCAGATTTTGGTTAGTCATGTGTTTTTTATCATTTATCATTAACCTATTTTATTTTATAGAGTTATTTGAAGATAGACCATATTCTACTATTGCTACTTTAGTGATTCCATCAGGGAACATTCTGGGAAGTATGTTCCCTGATGTAGTACCTTAAGTGATTACTAGTGTCTGGCATTACATTCTGCCTGACTTAATGCAGAGAAAATATTTTAAAGAGTATCTAAAATCTAAAGTAAATTGGAGAAGGATATGATCTCCTTAATTTTTACTCTGACTCTCTAACCCTAGTTCAGTAATTTTTTTTTTTTGCTGCAGTTGCTTCCCATTCATATAGAATTGTTGTAATCAGATTTATTCTGGATTACTGGTGGTGGTTTTATGGCTAGTTTACTGTAGAAATACAAATGTGTGGAAGAAGAATACATCTTTTCATATACCTTTTGCTGCAATTAACAAAATACTTCTTTTCTGTCTGCATTGAATTATTACACTAATGATTCCATCACTTTTCTGCTTTGATGATATGATATATTTGTTTTGCACAGCTGAATGTATTATTGAAAAAGAAAACTGAAAAAGTCACTGCTCAGGCTATATTTAATCACACCACTACAACATCATGAGTCAAAACTGCAACTAATGATCAACTTGGTTCTTGTTTTCTGGGTACATGCATGATTATCAGCCTTAGGTTTATGTCCTCTGTCAGGTCACATGAGATGTGGTTAAGACTTTGATTCTGAGGCACAGAAGAAACATAAATTTTCTTTCAGAAAATAGACATGCAAATGTTTGCTCTCAGGCGCATGGTGTGATTGTTGGGAATGTCCTGTACAGAGCCAAGGGCTGGACTTGATAGTTCTTGTGAGTCCCTTTCAGCTCAGAATATTCTGTGATTGTGGTATTTTATAAGCAGATGCAAGAAATGGGGAAAGAGCATTTCTGAAATAAAGCTGAATGGTGGAATGTAATATGCTAATGTGAAGAACACACGAAAACTGAATTCCAGTTGTTCATAGCTTTCTTGATTAAAAAAAGGATACCAGCAGGGGTAAAAAAAAAATCACTTTTGGAATACTTAGATTACCTGAAAGGACGTTATGGAGATCAGAGAATGGAGAAGTTGATTATCTCTTGTGGGAGCTTAAGTTGGCAGATGCATGGCTATTATAGCCATGTAGGCATGGCTACTCCAGAAAAATGCAAATTTAGTAGTAAGCAACAGAAAGCATTATTTGGCTCTTCCAGTATTATAGCCAGAAATCACTGTTTGTAGTTGGAATTGTACTTCAAAAGTTATTATGGATAATGACTAAAGGACCAGCTAAAAAAAATCAAAAAACAAACCACAAAGCAGAGAAATAGAAACCTAGAAGGAGGTAGAATTGATGTTTAAAGATGGAGTCACACAAATCACTTACCGGCATATTTTAGTTTACTTTTTCTTTTACTGAAATCTCATCTGAGTAATAATTTCTCAGAAAGTTCAGTGTCATTGTTCACACTTAATGTTGAGTAGGAAGAGCCCAGTTGTGTCTTAGTAAGCACTTAAGGGAAACTGCTTTCAAGGTGGCAATACCATTATTTGGGGATTGCAGTCAGAGAGTGGCAATTGTTAAATGAATATAGCAGGGAGTACTTACTTTGCCTACACAACAGCTGTATTTTTTCCTGGTTCTTTTCAATCCAGCACTGTACAAGCAGCAGGCCAACCCACATACTGGGTGGGTTTTGTGTGTGGTGTTTCTTGCCTTAATTTCATATTCTAGATAACTGTTAACAACTTTCTAAAACTATTTTCAGCTTTAGATCCGGCTAAAGATCCATGTTTGAAGATGAAATGTAGTCGCCATAAAGTCTGTGTTGCACAGGATCAACAAACTGCAGTTTGCATTAGTCACCGAAGGCTTACACACAGGTAAATACTTCAAAAGTTAATCCTATAGACATTTTTGTAGTGTTCATGACTGACTTGTAAACTATAAAACCATTTTAATTAGATTAATTACTTAACAACATACAAGCACAGTAGAAGTGGATTTTAGAAGTCATTATGTATGTTATTATGTAGTCATTACTAAATCATAATTTAATAATAATGCTTACTATTTATTTTTTTTGTACTAGGAGGTATACATGTTTAAATATTGTAAGCTGCTGGTACAAATACATTTAGGGAAATCGCCATTGTGCCAGTATCAAATGAATAAAATTATTGTGATAGTATCCTACTTTTGTACATTACTTTGACATCATCACTTCTTATATGAAGCTAGAGAACTCAAAACTGTCTGCTGAATTGTAGGTAACAGCCTGATACAGTGTAAGTTAGAGATTAGTGGGGGTTTTTCCCCCTCTTCTTTTTCTCTTCTTTTGTGCATTCTGATTTTCTTTGCATGCTGGACTGCTTAAATGTAAGGAGAATATATATAATGAATTCATGTATTTTTGTGGCATTATCTGAGGCAGAAATATGAATATGTAGGACCTGAACCATACACTTAGTTTAGTCATGACAGTTGCTTGCTGTGGAGATGGAGTCAAATTGCATTTTCAACTTGAGATTGTTCTTTTTTTCCCTGCTTCATTGTGGGAAACAGGACACAGTAGAATGGTTAGATTTCAATAAATTGATTTAAATAAGTGTCTGTTAAAGTACTTTTCTCAGTAGGGGCTGAAAAGAGCTGAGAAAATAAGACTTCCTTGTGTGTTGGAAGAGGATCATTTCAAGAACAGTTTTATGAATGATACAAGGAATGTTCTTCTGAGTGTCTAGTTATGTTAAATACATCCATCTGGAGCTTTTCAAACAAGCAAGATAGTACATAGTGAAAGGAAAAGTTTAAACTGTTCTCGATCTGCAGCTGTACTTAATTAACAAAAAAACTCAACAACATTTGTGGAGTTACACTGTTTATATTAAACAATCTCAGTGTAGAGCTAGACATTTTAGTTTGATAAGGTACTATATATGGTGCAAGAATTATTAACAGACAAAGGTAGGTAGTCTGATTTCAACTGCATGTGAAGCGTCAGGAATATTATGAGTGTTAACTCTGAAGAGACAACATAATTCAAAATTTCTAAGAGGTATTACATGTCATGGAAAACAATGAAAATAATGACATTTCCTAGTTAAGTATACATGCAGTAGGTGATGACTGAAAACACTTTTAGATTAGATGAAGATGCATACTTGTGTTGAATTAAGAAAGTTTTTGACATCAGCCTTCATTCCTGTATTATTCCTCCCACAGTTCTTGTACTCTTTTAGAAAGGTAATATTTTAAAAGGCAAAACTTGCCTGAATATAATGCAGTCAATAATGGGAAACTTTGGAATGGCAGCAACTTGATGATTGTAAAAAGCACTGTAAATCTAGTCTTGTAAGGTAGATGAAGCAATTTTCTGCCTACCTGTGCCAAGCCAGGGCAGGGTTTTCCCAAGCTTAGATCTCCCTGTTCTGCCAGATTACCACATACAAGAAGAAATAATTTTGTGTGTACTTTCTTTCTAAAAAGGTTTTTCATGCAGTTTCGGACCTTTTTGTAACATGGTGGGATTAAAGTATGACTATCATAAACACAAGCAGTTGTCTGCAGGGTCTCTTTACCACTAGAGATTTTCTTTGCCTAACATGTTACTCCTTCACTTGTATCTGCAGTTTGCCTGCTGATTATCAGTACGGCCATCTGTTTCTCAGAGTTCCCAAAGGACCAGTCCACTCTGTGTGAGTCTTGGTAAAAATTAGATGAGAAAGCATAATTTGACAGTTGATAACATAACCTATCTACCAGTATCCATTGCTAATATATCATTTGTGTGTAATCTGTTGTGAATAAACATTAGCAAAATGTTTCATCCCAGTAATCCTTTTAGTTCGTGTGTGTGCACGTGTGGTGTTCTAGGATTGGATAATAGGAATAATTAAGAAAAGGCAGTTGGGGATGTTTTCTGAAAAAATAGTTGAGACCTTTCTCATGAATTACTGGGAACTCTTCATAGAGCTTGCCCACAGATTTTAATTTGGACATATTTGCTGTATAGATCCGTAGATGTTCAGAGATTTTTTTCCCAAGACTCTTGCACAGGGAAAGTAGTTTATAATACTTGAATTGATACAGTGGCAAAGATGATACCCAAGAGACTGTCAGGGAAGTGGATACTTTGTACACTTCCAAGATAAATAAAAAGTTTATGGGCACCTTTGGGCTACCCCCGGGGAAAGAGGCATGAAATACAGCTGAATAGATTTTTCTGTAGTGTCATCAAGTTGAAATGCTCTGATTTATAGTTGAATTCTCTATTACTAGAAGCAGCATTCCCAAACAGCCCTATTACCTAGTTCATAAATTTCTGTTTATAAATAATGTTACTTTCTTTAGATAATAGTATAAACAGAGAAGTTGCTAATACTGAAGACTGATAATTGTATCAAATGGAGGATTCAATTTAGTGATTTCTTTTGTTGTAAGAAATTAACTTGCAGAAAAAACACATAGTCATATACATTGTTATTTAGTCTGTGCTGCCCTAGCTGTTCTTCTCTGTACAGTACAGTCTCCAAACTATTGTAGCCCCGTTTGGATTACTGAGGGCCCAGCCATCTACAAGGCTGGTAGTGGCAAGGTCCCAACAGGATTAATTAATGTAACAGCACACTTTGGTGATGATTCTACCTGTGCTTTCAGAAGTATTAAAATTTCTATTGGCTTGGGGATCTCAGCACTGTGATCTTGCTGCAGTGTGCTTGCATTTGTATGGTTTCACAGCCAGCTGTTGTGTCTCACTGTCCTTTTCATGGAGTTGTGGGTCAGGCAAGCCTATGGTTTTGCTCTTTCCTCAGTTTCCATGGCAGCTGAGATCATGGTCTCCCCTCAGTCTCCTCTCAAGGCTCATTTCCTTTTCTGGTAGACTGCCAAGATGGCAAGTCCTCTTCTAGCACTCTCCTGCAGGGCCGCAGCACAAGAGCTTCCTTTATGTGCTGTCCTGGAAAGTCTGAATAGCATTTGACAAAAAGATGAAATAGGTGTTGTAAATCATTGGTCATGAGAATAGTTGGAAGTACCAGGACTTTTAAAACACAGGGACATGCTTAAAGGAGCAAGGTTTTTGTTGGTAGCAGGTAACAGCATTTGCATCTTTGCTGGCTCTGTATCGGAAGCTGTGTTCTGTGTGCTGCACACTTAGCTCTGTACTGTGAAGGAAAGATAATGTGCTTGAGGGGAAAACATGCAGGATATGTATATAAATGTTGTTCACATTATTCCCATGTGGAAAGGGAGTATCTGCTGTCACTAGAATGCATCATAAACAGGTAGCTCAAACTGTGTGTAAAATAAAACTTTCATTGATTTTTTTGAAATTTGGGAATTTGTTGTTAACTTTTCCTTTTGGCTGAATGGTGTTTTGCCATTCCATTGTGCTTTCCAATTTATCTTTCTTGGTTAAGTGAAAGGGCTTTATGGGGAAAAGGGTCTTTACGTGAAATAATGAAATGCTTTGGCATATACCTTATTCAGTTACAAATACAGCTTGCAGAATATGAAATACAGTATTGCTTCTACTGGGATGTGTTGGTGTGAGTGTTATGGTGACAGGCAGGATATTCATCACCCTAAGGGAAATCATTTACTCATTTTAGTTTCCAATCTCTTCACTCTCAGGAGATTTAGTTATTTCCATCTGCGGTACTAAGAATCTCTGGCAAATACAAGTTCACTCCTGTGAGCTTGGGGAAGAGGAAAGCAGTTATGTGAGTGTTCTGCCAGGAGACAGTTGGACAGGAATAAAAAGGGATGAGTCAGAGGAGAGGACTGTAGGTGGTAATGGACACTTCATAATGCCCACAATGGAATGTATGCTTTTTGTATACTTAGCGCAGCAGGTGGTAGAAATAAATCCTTAAATATCCATGTACTTCTTGTTGCCACTTTGAGTGAGGAAAGAAAGGATATGTGCAGACACCACAATATACAGGAGCTCATTAAGTCCATGCAAGCTGGTAACTAACCAGGCTCAGTAAACTGGAAAAGTTAGTCCAGCAGTGACCTATCCTAGATTTACAGGCCCTGATAATAGTGTGTTAACTTTCTTTTAGATTTGAAACAGACAATTATGATATTGACACATACTGTAATTTTTGCTAAGACTGGCATTCTGTGAATAATAGGCTGCAATACTAAATAAACTAAGCAGTGTATAGGTGAATTTCTGAGCCAGTGGGTTAGCTGCAGTTGAAGGGCAGGGAAACTTTAAAAAATGGGGAAGGATTTCTGCCCAGCAGAGAATTTTACTGTAAGCGTAACAGTAAACATGGGATAGTGCCTGTGTGTTCAGGTGAATTAGTTTTATTGGAATCCTTTTTGTACTCCATGTTTGTAAAAAATATTTAAGCCTAGCACTTAAAGGTGAAAGAAAGAAGAGGAGGTGCGGGCTCTGTCTTCTTGAAATGTTTCTCTTTGCTTTTTTTTCAAATCATCTGCAGGAGACAATTTATAAAGGAGATTAATTCAGTTGAGACCTAGTTATTGTACAGCCCATTCCAAGATCTGACTCCTTACAGCTGGAAACCAGTGAAGACTCTCAACATGATTTGTCTAAAAGTTCTGAAAATTAGGAAAGTGTGAAACTGTTTTGGGCCAAAAATCATGTCTGAGGTAAATCTCAGTGTCTTTTATATATTAGAACCTAGTGACTAATCTTGTACTTACTCATTGATCCTAGTGGAATCTGATAAAAACCAGTCTCTTTTTCTTTTTCCATAAGTAAAAGAAAAGTACTGTGTAAAATTGATTGGATACATTTAATCAATCAATGCTTGGAGGCATTAAATTATTCAGTGCATTGCAGGTGTGTGCAGTTTTTCTGGGCAGATGCAGATCTGTCTCTTTTATGAGTTCCCCACAAGACATCATG